TTCCGAGGGAAGCCCAATCAGCCCTAGGTTTACCTAAACCAAGGATGGACACGTTTCCCAAGGTTATAAATACCTCCCTTAATCCTCATTAAGGGGACACGCGAAAAACATTATGGAACACATTAATAACCGGCTGATCTCGCTAACAAAGCAGATTACCTACATTAAACACTCTCACCTAGAGAGACCTTATTACTTTAATTTCCGCATTAATTACTCCTTAATCAGGTACTAACTTGACCGTTGGAGGCGGAGCTCACAGGAGTCTCCGTTATTTTGTAGGTACAGGCGTCCGGTTCCAGTCTCGGAATTGTAACTCTCCCGCAGGACATCAGAAAACCCCGAAACACAAAGGGTGGAGAGCATCAATCGGTTTTTTGATGGCTATGTAAACCGCAAAACTAAACTCCACGATTTTCCTCAGAAATATGACATGGCCTTAACTCATCGCGTGTCAGATGAAGTGAGTGCAGATGAGCGTTGCTTGAAGTACCTAAGGAGGTTGGTTAGTGGCTTCAAAGTTGAAATTCTTTTCCAAAAGTTATACACAGACAACAAGTTTCAAGAAGTTCAAACGGAGTGTTCGAGATTGATGTATTGCAGCCTCCGAGGAAAGGAGGTTTTGTCTTTAAACCTTATTCAGTATTTGCTGATCGATCGTGTATGGATAGTACCTCCAGGTGCTAGTGAGGAGGTCATTACAGATAGGCAAAGTCCAAGTTACTTACTATCCTATGACTAAGGAGGTTCAATGTGTTTGCATGATGTTTGAGACAAGTGGCATACTTTGCAAACACTGTATTAGAATTCTCGACGAAAACGAGGTTGAAGATCTGCCACAAAAGTACATTTTAGACCGTTGGTGGAAGGATGTACCCTGTAAGCACACTAGGGTCAAGGTGTCCTACCATGATCCGGGCGACACATATAATGTGCAGAGATTCAACAGATTCATGGAAAAGTTCGAGCCCATCTGTGACACTGCTGCCATGCTCAATGATCAAACAGTCCAAATTGTAATTGAAGCATTATCAAAGCTTCAAAAAGTTGTTAATGATTGTATGGACAAGAAGAGTCAGGAACATGTTCCTGTAGTTAGCACACTTTCATCACTCGCTGAAGAAGACAGAACGTTTTCATCAGTGTCAGTTCATGCTGATCCTGTAGACCCATGTCCATCTGCCATGGTGCCTGTTATAAAGGACCCTATAATTAAGAAAAGGAAAAGGGGCTGGCCTAAGGGTTCAAGGCACAAATCGTTAGCTGAAACTAGCTACAAGAAACCCAACAAGAACAAGAAGCCTAGCCCAGTAAGATTTATGCTTTTATTGTCATTACTTTTTATTTATGGAATAAGCTGACTTGGATATCATATAGGATGCAGGGAATGGTGTTGAGGAGATAGAAGAGGATGCAGGAAATGGTGCTGAGGAGGGTGAAGAGGATGCGAATGAGAAGGATGAACATGCACCGACTGCAGGAACAGTTAAGGTAAAGGCAAAGGGAAAGGGAAAGGGAAAGGCAGAACAAGGTAAGGGCAAGGGAAAGGGCAAACCAATCAAGGGAAAGGAATAACAAGGTAAAGGCAAGGGAAAGGGAAAACCAATCAAGGGCAAGGCAGGAACAGTTAAGGGAAAGGGGAAGGGCAATGCTGAACCAGATAAGGGAAATGGAAAGGGAAAGGGCAAGGGCAAGGGCAATGCTGAACCTGTAAGTTTATACAGTCATTTATGTGATTCCAATTAAATTATTTTTTATATCATATTTAACACATCACTCACAGGTGGTGAAGCATAAGATGGTGAAACAGAAAAGGCTTGTGAAACTAATGGCCAACGGGGCGTGACTTGTAAGTTTGGATACTACATCAACCGGAAGGCATACGTATTCCCGGGAGGCGAACAAGTTTGCTGATGTGGATTCGTGCGTTTATTGTACTAAGCTAATGGTGAAGCATTGTTAGTTAAAAAAAAATTTAAATTAGTAACAAAAACCTAATGTTTGATCTATTATGAGTTAAGTCTTATGTGTTGAATCTAATGTATGAACATGATTTGAATATAGGATTTATAATATCACACTTGAGGCTCAAAACAGATGCATACTTGCTAATTAGGCTATTAACATTACGAAAGATTGAAAATATAAGCAACTCCTTCTTGTACAAAAGTATATGTACAAGATAAAATATTGGAGTAGTGTAAAAAGCAAAAAAAAAAAAAAAAAAAAAAAAAATGGGGGATGGGAAATGCGGTTGCTGGGATTCGAACCTAGAACCAAATATAGTGTATATAGAATGTAAACCAATTGAGACAGTCATCGACCGTAATATAATTAGAAAATAAATATTATATATAGTATGGAACTATTGCTTTGCACTCTCATTCTCATTTGCATAATTTAATTAATATTTTAATTGAAAAAAAAGGTGTATTCCTACGCAAGGGGGGTTATATAAGACTTCACAAATAACTTTACTTTTGTAGATTTAATTATAGAACAAACTTTTCAATAAACATGCCACCAAAATCTACTACATGAACAAGCAACCTTTCATGTCTAATCATATTCTGCCACCCCTTTCAACCAATAAACCCAAAAGTCCAAAACAAATATTGGAGTAGTGTAAAAAGCAAAAAATAAAAAAATTTGGGGGATGGGAAATGCGGCTGCTGGGATTCGAACCTAGAACCAAATATAGTGTGTAGGAATAATGTAAACCAATTGAGACAGTCATCGATCGTGGTATAATTAGGAAACAAATATTATATATAGTATGGAACTATTGCTTTGCACTCTCATTCTCATTTGCATAATTTAATTAATATATTAATATATTAATTGAAAAAAATAAGGTGTATTCCCACGCAAGGGCCAAGGGAGGTTATATAAGACTTCACAAATAACTTTACTTTTGTAGATTTAATTATAGAACAAACTTTTCAATAAACATGCCACCAAAATCTACTACATGAACAAGCAACCTTTCATGTCTAATCATATTCTGCCACCCCTTTCAACCAATAAACCCAAAAGTCCAAAACAAATATTGGAGTAGTGTAAAAAGCAAAAAATAAAAAAATTTGGGGGATGGGAAATGCGGCTGCTTGGATTCGAACCTAGAACCATATGTAGTGTGTAGGTGGGAATGTAAACCAATTGAGACAGTCATCGACCGTGATATAATTAGGAAACAAATATTATATATAGTATGAAACTATTGCTTTGCACTCTCATTTTTTGGCGCAAAAAAAGAGGGAATGAAAGAGGGAGTTGAAAGGGTATGTATGACATCATCCCACTCCCACTCTCTATAAATCTAACTTCAATTATTTGTTTCAATTTCCCCTTAAATTTGCTCTCCATTTTTACATAACTTCTCTCTATTATTCCCAATTTCTTACTTTCTTTCTCTATTAATCCAAAAATTGTTAATCAAAACAAGAGCAAACAACCAATGGTTCTGTCAGAGCACGATCAACCCAAATACTCTGAATTACAATTCCTTGAGTTGAGGAAGAAAATGATAAGAGATCAATTGACTGACTACTAGTTAATGTGCAAATCCCTGCAGTCTGAAATGGATGATGTTGATACGGCCATATCTAAAATTCACAAAGATAAGGCAGAGGCCAATGAAGCACTGACAGATAAGGAACAGGGCACAAGGGGTAGGAAGAGATTCACGATGGGGGCAAAGTCGGAGGCAATGAAGAGGGTTTCTGGTGGGGCTGGTGATGGGCAAGCAACAGTGGGTGATGCTACTGGACAGGGACCCGCTGTTGCAGGAGGAGTGCAACCGGTTGGGAACAGGCGGAGGCCGAGGCAGTGGACAGTGAGGCAGAGGAGATCCACAAGCCTGACGGAGGTAGTTCCCCACGCTCCATATCATGTCCGTGATCACTGGTCTCCGGAGGTTTCTGGCGATGCATCTGGTGCTTACGGTCACTCTGCTTCTACCATCGAAAAGTTTGACTAGTTTGAACAATTATGCTCAATGTTTAATGTTTAGTGTTTTATGTTTATTTGATGTTTTATGTGTGTAGTTTGAACAATGAAGTAGTAATTAGTAGATATCTTATAGTTGCATGTCTATTTTATGTTTTATGTGTTGAACAATTAAGTAGTAACAAGTAGATATTGTGAGTAATAAGTACATATTTTATTGTTTTATGTTTGTTTAAAGTTTTATGGGTGTAGTTTGAACAATTAATTAGTAATTAGTAGATATGTTATTGTTGCATGTCTAATTTATGTTTTATGTGTTGAACAATTAAGTAGTAATAAGTAGATATCGTGAGTAATAAGTACATATTTTATTGTTTTATGGTTGTGAGTAACAATTACGAGTTCTAGCTCATTTTATTTTTCTTGAAATGTGTTGCTTATTTATGTTGTATGTGTCGGTGATTTTTTTTAATAATTTGCTTAATTTTCTTACTTATAATTTGCAAGTTAGGAATTAGGAATACATAAAGATTTTAAGATTTTAAAGTTTAATAATTTGTTATTTTAATTTGGGTTTTGCTATACATAAATATAAAAAACAACAATTTCATAAAATTAATGCACTTTTTCATATTCCAATGGAATCTAATATTATAATTGAATTAAAAAACTGATTTACTTAATGTAGTGTTATTAATAGGATAGATTTTCATAACACTACATTTAATAACACTTCCTAAACTACTTTTTTTAGGACAATAAAACATTCTACTCCGTAGCTAATATCCTACCATCGTGTACAAAAAAAGAAAACAAAAAAAGTCGTCAAATAAATTAGGCCAAATTTCATGTTCTCGTATGGATGTTTTTCAATTAGGCTATATTCGTCCAATTTCAATTGCATGCATTTTTATTGAGTCATATTCTATACTTTCTAGAAATTGTAAGAGAATAAACTATGTAATTAATCCTTATATATAGCCCTATAGCATTGGATCTTTTACCAAAATGGCTATTTTGACAAAAGTATTTACCAAAACGGCTAATTATAAAATTTAATTCCTAAACTAGCTAATGTTATTGATTTGAAAGGATATTATTTATTTTTTATATTCCTTTGAACCCGTTCGGTTCACTTTATTTTTTATTTGGTTTTAATTAAAGAGAATTAGTTTTTTTTAATGTTGGTTTTATTAAAACTCTAATGCCATAGTTTAAAATATCCCATTAATTTGAACAATTAACAATCAACATAATATATATGCATAAATAACCACTCAAAAAAAAAAAAAAAAATTTGATCCAAAATTAACAAAAGAAAAAAAATAAACAACTGAAACTGCATTCAATCATAATAAAGCCAACAGTACAGAAACTAAAACTGCATTCTAATCATCATTCTACTTTAATTACGTCCTAAAAGCTGAAACAGTTGATCATCTTTAGTGGCTCACACTAAGACAAGTTCTACAACAAACACTGCAGGATGTCCGTGTTGAAACTTAATCAATGCACCTTCTTCTACCTGAACATTGTACCGATCAGTAAATTCCCTAACACCACTTAGTTCACACTTGGTAATGAGACCATCCTTCTTCACAACTTTCAGCTTCGCAGCGATTTGCTCATCAGAGTTTTGAAGCAGCACATTAGTTGAATCACCACAGTTGCTTAACCAATTGTTAGCAAAGTCAACAGGAACATTCTGCAATAATTGAACCAGAATAAGTACAGATATTTTATCAGGTCAAAAATGTGTAATAGTTATTAGCAGCATATACATTTACTCCTTTCTTAAGGTAAGCTGCAGTGAAAATGAACTTGAAATGTGGCTCAAAACAGGAATGTGCAAGGTCATCAATCCATTCATTTGTTTCGATTATATTTGCTAAGCTACCATGGTAAGCAGGTCTGCGTCCTGGCCTCTTACTCGAGCTTGAGCCACGTCCTGGCCTCTTACTCGAGCTCGAGCCACCAGTGCTCTTTGCAGTTTCAGATCTTTGTGATTTCTTGCTTCTTGATCGCCTTAAAATCTTTACCAAGAAACAGCTATTCCCTCTATATGTAAACTTTAGACCATCGCCAACCATTATCTCATTTTCTTCAACAAAATCAACCCAACCACCTGCTAAGATAGTCATCCAACCATCTCTGTCCTCTTCATGTGACATAGTAGCTTCCCACATTCTGCCATACTCTTCTAGTTTCAAGTCAACCCCTTTATCACCATCATTCAAGATATCCTTAAATTCATCAGGATACGCTGTAAATTAATATACATTAGCAAAATACCAACTCAATATATAAGCAACAACCAAACATACACATGTCAGAAAGTAATCTCGCCAAAACACATAACTACAACAATAATAAAGCAATAATTATATGTTTCATACCAGCTTATCTTTGTGATGATCTTCATAACAAATGGTAAATGTCATCGCAGTATTTTCCATTCAATATTCTGAACAATTTACTAAGATTTTTATTTATACTTAGCCTTTTCGCACAACTCAGTAGCTAATTTGCATGATAGCAAACACTGCTATATATATATACATATATAACAAAGCTATTGTCAAAATTATGTAGTATATTAATTGCAATTAAATATTACTTTGACAAGAAAAGACTTGAACAATCTGATTTTTCGGTAACTGAAAGAATCTTTAATTTCAATATTCCTTCCCAATGGTCATACCAACCATAATTACAAGTCAAGAAAATTCAAAGATGGCATAATGATCAACCCAAATAACATAATAAGTACCTATGTTATCATTCATCATTTAGTAAGCTAACCACAATACATCAGTTACATACCTAATGATACTCCTATAAGACTAGAGCTGTCAAAAGCTGACCCGACCCGAAATACCGACCCTAACCCGACCCTAACCATAACCCGTATGAACCCGAAAAAAATGGTAACCCGAACCCGACCTAACCCGACCTGAAACCAACCCTAAACCCGAGTTGACCCGAGTATTTGAGACCCGAACCCGACCATAACCCGACCTAGAGAGGACCCGACCCGAATATGACCCATAAATTATTGACCTGAACCGAACCCGACTCGAACCCGAGAATGACCCAAACCCGATTTAACCCGTCAAAATCCGAATTCAACCCGACATGTTACTAACCCGACCCGAGGTCAACCCGACCCGTTCCAAACCCGACTCGAATTTAAACCCAACCTGTTACAAACCCGACCCGAAATCAACCCGACTTGTTATTGGTCCGACCCAAATTCAACCCGACTTGTTATTGCCCCGACCCGAATTTAAACTCGACGTATTACTAACCTGAATTTAAACTCGACCTATTACTAACCCGAATTTAAACGTATTGGAGGCTATATGAGGTGAGTGAGGTGAATCGATGATAGTGATTTTGTCTAATTAAATCAGCCAAATGTTTTTTTTTTCTAAATTTATCTTCAAAATAAACTTCCATATTACTACTTATAATCCTTTTATTGATCCGTTTTTTCAAATTTTAGTATTCACTTGTTTATTTTAATATTTTTTAAAATGTTTTAAATTATGCAATTTGATTTGGAGCTTTAAAAAAAATCAAAAAAAAAATTTTATTGACTTGAACCGAAATCGACTCGAACCCGAGAATGACCCGACTAGGAAATGACCCGACGTAATTATAACCCGCAAATAATTGACTTGAACCGAACCCGATAATAACTCGCAAAAAATTGACTTGAACCGAACCCGACTCGAACCCGAACAGGACCCTAACTCGTTTAAACCCGTAAAAACCCGAATGTTACCCGCCTTTTTTTCACCCGACCCGAATGTAACCCGACCTTTTATTGACCTGACCTAAACCCGACCTAAACACGATAAGATGTATGACCCGACGTGACCCGACTCAAGAATGAACCAACCCGAACCCGACCCGCATAGGTCCCGACATTAACCCGTACTGACCCGACCCGAGATGACCTGACCCACACTAACCCGACTCAAACCCAGACCCATTTACCCGAATTGACAGCTCTATATAAGACTATAAACAAAAATGAGAATTTCTAAAGGTACATATAAATTTTTTAAGGCCAATGTATCACGGTCGAGGTACCGTCCCAATGGTCACTCACTCTCAACTCTTAGCACGCTACTGAGCATAAGGTCAGCGGTTCGATTCCTACCAACACCCCACCCCCAAACAATTTTTTTTTTCATTTAAAGTTTTCGTTGATCGATAAATTTTTTTAAAATTTATTATATTTTCTTTTTCCTTTCCAAGATTAAAAACAAAAATTAAAAAAAAAAAAAAAAAAAAACCAAAAAAAAAAAATAGCTAATATTGCTTGAAAAATGATACTCCTATAAGACTATAAACAAAAATGAGAATTTCTAAAGGTACATATACATTTTTTAAGGCTAATGTATCACGGTCGAGGTACCGTCCCAATGGTCACTCACTCTCAACTCTTAGCACGCTACTGAGCATCAGGTCAGCGGTTCGATTCCTACCCACACCCCTACCATACAAGGGTTTAGTCGACGACAAGACCAAAATCCGCCAGTCAGCAGAGGGATTGAGGTGCCCCTTCTTCCTGGGGAAGAAAATTAAGCACTACACACGTCTCTCGTACAACATGCCCATGGGGTGGCACATCTTCCTGGGGAAGAAAATTAAGCACTACAGTTTCACGTCTCTCGTACAACATGCCCAGCACTACAGTTTCACGTCTCTCGTACAACATGCCCATGGGGTGGCACATGGCTCTGAGCGGCGCCGTGTTAAACAGAAGGCAGAGAACCTCTTGCCTTAGACAAGTTTCTGAAAGAAAATGAAAACAAGTACAATCGGCCAATCCCTGTGTAGTTATTTTTTTAGTTTTTATGATTTCCATGTTTGCAGGTGTTGCTATGTTTTTTTTTTTTAAATTATGATGTACCAATAAGTTTGTTTTGAAATACAACCAAATAAGTTTGTTTTTCAATACTATTAAAGCGTAAATAATCCCCAAATGCTTGCAATTGAATTTCAGATCTAGAATCAAATGAATTGAACTCAAATTTTGCATATTGGTTAATCTCAATATGAAGATTTTAAAATCTCTATATTATAAAATCAGCAGTGACTATAGATTCACGAATTTAAGCAATTACAATTCCAAATTACAATTTCCAAAAATTATCAAGATTATTCACAGAAATATGTACAAGCCAAACAATTCAAAAAAAAGAAAGCAAATTTGTGAAAGCAAAATTCAATTCAAATCAAACTTACCTACAATTGACGTCATCACTCGAGTTGTTCTTGTAACTGAGATTGAATTATAAAATTTTAGGTTATATCCCAATATTTAGAAACTGAAATTGGTTTACGACAAAAAGAAAGTAACATCTTACCTCAGAAGCTAACACAAGGGAAAACATTGACTGCGCATCAAAGGAAATAGAGGGAGAAGGATGAGTGGATGACACTTGATTGACTGACTCTAAGGAGTAAACACTATACGACTTCAATTTAGGTTCATAGATTTTTTGGATTTTATTTGTACTTTATTTTTATTTGTACTTTATTGTTAATTTGTACTTTATTTTCTATTTGTACTTTATTTTTGTTTGTACTTTTTCTGATTTGTGCTTTATTTTTGTTTGTACTTTTTTCTTATTTGTGCTTTATTTTTATTTGTACATTTTCTTACTTGAAGAAATTTTTATTTGAATTGTTTTAATTTGAAGACACAAATTAACTTATCTAAGATGGCAAGACTCTTAATTAACTTAAGACATGTTGGTCTTGAGTTCAAGTTTTGTTATAAGCATTTTTAAAATGCAAACTTAATACATGTCAAACTTAATACTTGTGAAAGTCACATACTCACATATCACGTTTATGACATGTTGAACTTGATATAGGTGACACGTGAACAAGTTTTGTTTTAGAAATATTTTTTAATACTACGTATATAAGTATAGCTTTAACCAACCATTTAACCGTATAATAAATTGTTTATTTCTTATTTTCTCATCTTTACAATTTCAATAATACGCTGTTTGAATTTCGTTTTAACTTTCGTCAATCAATGTTTCTCCTTTAATAATCTAATGTTTACAAAAAAAAAAAATATGATAAAGAAAGGATTTCTAGAATTAATCCGCGCGGTTGGACTTAGATCATGTGCTGTTTGTGTTGCAGTGAAACAATTTAGATCATGTACCTTATTTCTTTGTGATATGGTAATTCTCTAACTTTGAAGTATAATCTATTTTACTTAGTCTTATTTATATTTTTTGTTATTCTACTACTTTTATTTGAAACTAGTCAATCCAAGTATAATTTTGAAGTATTATTAGGGGTGAGCAAAAAGTCTGTGTAACTGTCAATTGGAACTGGGACCGGGTAGGAACCGGCAAATCCGGAGGCGGAATTAGACCCAGTGGTTCCAATTAAAAGCATGATTACGTAAAAATTAAGTGAATGATAACAATTACCTGAACTTAATTTGAACAAAAACATGATTACGTAAACAAATTAATGAAAATGCTTAATTACCATGAGTAAAATTAAACCATCATCTATATTAGCAAATTACATACCAAATTTAAATTACCATTCCCTGGTCAAACATATCTATTCAAAAATCGTTCATGGGACTCTAATACTCTAATCTACTTTAATTTCAACCATTATATGGCACATAAATTACCTAAAATTAAATTAACTTAAATTAAATAGCAGGCAATTAAATTAAATCAAATAGCAGGCAATTAAATTAACATAAATTATCTAAAATTAGATTATAATTTGGCTACTAATTAAAAGGGTACCTGCAGGAAAATAACATCATCGGTGTAGCTCCCAAAATCCGTGATGAAGCCAGCCAATCCAAGGGAGTAAACAGGGCCACTCGTGGGTATAATTGGCTTCGGATCCATCTTGTCTACCAACAATTTTGGAATTATTTTTGTAGTACCCTCATACTCCACAACATCATCCTTTTCCAGCTCACGAATGGCAGCTTGCACCTCCGGCTTACCAACAATGTCAGCAATGTTGGGTAAGTGCGCCGGAAAAATCTCACCAGCCTCATTGACCATCATCAATTTGTCCATACGGTGTTGCTCTTCTTTAGGGTTGGCAACAATTTTCTTCGGAATATCATACTCCACCTCATGCAAGGTCAAGTTTCCATTTTGACTATGAAAATAGACAAAATCATTGAAGTTCATTTCTTGTTCAGTGTTCGTGTTGTACTTGAAACAGTGTTTGACGTTATTAGTGGCCGTAGCCGGGAAGAACCCAGGAGGGTAAGGCACTTCTTGGTTGGGTTCCATGGTGGGAAATGAAAATATTACTTAGGGAAGAGAGGAGGAAAGTATTGGGGTGTGTTTCTTTTCTGTCTGATAACTTTAACTTCTGATAATGAAGTAGCTAACTCTAGTTTTTTTTTTTTTTTTTTTTTTTTTTTTTTTTTTTTGAAAAGCAACTGTAGTTAACTTAAGTCCACTCATAGTACACCCTATCTTACGTAAGGTAAGTTATCTCTTCTCAAAGAAAAACAAAAAGAAAAAAAATAAAGTAAAGTAAACTGGCACGTGTCTAGTTGAGAGTTTTAGTTAAAATACAACTGCTACGGTTATGGGTTGACAGAGATTTGCTGCTTGTTTCCCATGAAGTTTGCCATTGTATAGTTTTAAGATTCGCGTCATACATTGCATGTTATAAACAATCAACGTAATCGTGAACAAAATTTCACATGATTAAGATAAACAATCCTCATTTGTAACATCATAAACAAGGTCAATCCGATCCGATCCGAAACATCCGAATTCTCAAAAATTTTCAATCCAATCCGATGCGATTTAAATTTATCCGATCCGAATAAATACTTCGGTTTAGATTGGAATTTTTTGGTTTTATCCGAATAATGGACACCCCAAGTTGTCCTATAAACGATCAAATTGAAAATCAAACCCTCCAAACCCTAAACCATTCACACCCTAGACCCTTCAAACCCTAAACCCTTTAAACCCTAAACAAACCATAAACCCTTCAAACCCTGAAATCATTAAATATATATTATCCATACTCATTAGGACTAAATTATTATGCAAATCTATCATTTTTTTTAACTAAAATCTAAATCTGCATTAAAATCTAAATGGAATTGCATGTTATAAACAATCAACGTAATCATAAAAAAAAATCACATGATTAAGATGAACAACCCTCATTTGTAACATCATGGCTTCATATTTCGGTGAAATTGATTTATTTGATCCAAACAAGGTCAATCCGATCCGATCCGAAAATCCGATTTCTCAAAATATTTCAATCCAATCTGATCCGAATTAATAATTCGGTTTAGATTGGACTATTTCGTTTTTTATTCGAATAATGGACACCCCAAGTTCAAATTGGAAATCAAACCCTCCAAACCCTAAAGCCTTTCCAAACCCTAAACCCTCCAAACCCTAAGCACTTATATTTGATCATGATAATTAACTTCTTATGTACTTATAGTGATATAAAACTTTTTTATACTTATACTCCCCAAATTGAGTAATTAATATGTATAATTCCTCAATGAAGTCGATCATTGAAGTTCAATTGTGTTCCGTCGATCTATTAAACGTTGTTAAATATATAAATCATATGGTTCCTTTTATTGATCTTGTTGTTCCTCCTAGTTGCTCGGAAGTAACGTTTGTTCCACCTACTCTAGTCGATCGTAAGAATTTGAGATAAACTTTTAAAATAAAATAAATCTATATTTAAACAAGCTAATTTAACGTTAATTGGTTTTCGGATTGGATTCGGTCCAGTTAGGGTCAATAAATCCATCCAACACCCTAATCTGAACTTTCAAAAAGTCTCAATCTGACCAGATCCGATTCGATCCGTTTAAGAGTTCCGATCTGAATTGATTGGATTGGATTTCAATTTTACTTCAACTTATTTACACCCCTAGTTTAGTCGATAACATTGACATGCTTTGAAATTTCGGTCATTACATAATCCGTACGTATTCATATCATAAATATTTATATGAGAATAACTATGTGAATGAATATGATTTAGTTGCCTTCTATGTTTGTAGATTTAATTGCCTTATAGCTTTAGTTGCCTCTAGCTTTGTAGATTTACTATGATTTTGTTAATTGTTACGGTTTTAAGTGAAAACATAACCACAAATAATATACTCCCCAAAATTTTAGAATTCCACAAACTAATACAGCCGTTGATTTATCAATATGTGAGAGTTGCATTAGTAGGACTACAGATACGATTTTCAAATGGGTGTATGAGATATTGGTAAAAGGACATTGGTAAAAGGACACGGTTTCACCGTGATAATTAGTAGGGTAACTATGATTCGGGCTAGTATGGGTAGGTATGATTTTGGAACGTTGGAAAGGATGTGGGTGGATATGTTTTGGATTCTTGTTTCCATTTTTACAATAATACTCCGTACTTGCTTTTGTGAAGGTCTGCAACTTTGCACAGTTTTCACAAGCAACCTCCTTTTGTCCTTTCGCGAAATAAAGTAGCTAAAACACTCCTGAACAAGGTCTGAAGTTCATCCGTTTTTTGGGCGCCAAACCAATACAACCCTAAACAAATTCATTAACCTTTGTTATTTTAAAAAATTGTTAATACCCGATAATTTGTATTTAATTTTTTTAACAACATTTACAATCATAAATTAAATTGCAACAATTTATATACACTAATTAGTTTTAAGATTCACGTCATACATTGCATGTTATAAACAATCAACGTAATCATGAACAAAATTTCACATGATTAAGATAAACAATACTCATTTATAACATCATAAACAAGGTCAATCCGATCCGATCCGAAACTTCCGAATTCTCAAAAATTTTCAATCCAATCCGATGCGATTTAAATTTATCCGATCCGAATAAATACTTCGGTTTAGATTGGACTTTTTTGGTTTTTATCCGAATAATGGACACCCCAAGTTGTCCTATAAACGATCAAATTGGAAATCAAACCCTCCAAACCCTAATCCATTCACACCCTAGACCCTTCAAATCCTAAACCTTTCAAACCCTAAACAAACCATAAACCCTTCAAACCCTGAAATCATTAAATATATATGATCCATACTCATTTGGACTAAATTATTATGCAAATCTATCATTTTTTTTTAACTAAAATCTAAATCTGCATTAAAATCTAAATGGAATTGCATTTTATAAACAATCAACGTAATCATAAAAATAATTTCACATGATTAGGATGAAAAACCCTCATTTGTAACATCATGGCTTCATATTTCGGTGAAATTTATTTATTGGATGCAAACAAGGTCAAAATCCGATCCGATCTGAAAATCCGATTTCTAAAAAAATTTCAATCCAATCCGATCCGATTTATAGTTATCCGATCCGAATTAATAATTCGGTTTAGATTGGCCTATTTCGGTGTATATCCAAATAATATACACCTCAATTTGTAAACGATCAAATTGGAAATCAAACCCTCCAAATCCTAAACCCTTCCAAACCCTAAACCCTCCGAACCCTTCAAACCCTAAACCCTCCAAACCATAAACCCTCCAAACCCTAAACCCTTCAAACCCTAAACCCTCCAAATCCTAAGCCCTTCAAACCCTAAACCCTCCAAACCCTAAACCCTTCAAACCCTAGACCCTTCAAACCCTAAACCCTACAAACCATAAACCCTCTTCTAACCCCAAACACTTATATATGATCGATCGTCATACTAATTAAATATGTATATATATATATACATATATATACATATACATATATATATACATATATATATATATATATACATATATATATATATACATATATATATATATATATACATATATATATATATATCAACAACAAAATTTAGTGTTCACAAACAAATTACAGTCGTCAGCCGTTGAATAGTCGATCTAAATTTAAAGCCGCTGATTTATCAATATGTGACAGTCCAGTAAAAAAAAAAAAAATCAATATGTGACAGTTGCATTAGTAGGACTACAGATACGATTTTCAAATGTTTGTGTGAGATTTTTGAAAGTATGAGTTTGGCAAAAAGGACATTGTTTAGTTTGGTAAAAGGACATTGTTTCACCATGGTAAGTCAGGAGTAGGGTAGCTATGATTAGGGCTAGGTAGGTTGTAGGTATGATTTATAAAAGTTGGAAAGGGTGTGGGTGAATATTTATTGGATTCTTGTTTCCATTTCTATGACAATAGATTAAAAAATAAAAATTATTTTATATTTTAAAGTACTAGTAATTAAAAAAATTATTTATTGTCAATTTAAATTCTAACTGTCTAAGTAGTCTATCAACTTTTTATTCAAATTTAAATCTGCATTATAATCTCTCAATTGTACATGCATTTTATAAATGATAGTATTTCTAAAAATATTTAATTTTGCTTGGACATCGAATTCTTCTATGTAGTAAATCGTAGTTTGCTTGGTGTTCAATTATTCTTTGTAGTTGATCGAAGTAATGATGTTCATCGAACCTCAATTGTTCTTTGGTTTGTGAGATTTATTGTACCAGTTTTGATCGAAATGAGCTTTGATATCAAAACTAAAACAATCAGAATTGGAAGTCAAACCCTCCAAACCCTAAACCCTCCAAATCCTAAACCCTAAACCACTAAACCCTAAACCCTCTTAAATCCTTAAATAAGATCCATACTTAATTCTTTTTGTATCGTCTTTTTTTGTTTTAAAAATTAAACTCTCCGCCTTAATTACAAAATAGAATTGTACATTTTAAAATTGACAGTAAAATCTAATTATAATAGTTTGTTTGGTGATCGAATTCTTCTCTGTAGTCAATCGTAGTAATGATGTTCATATATTGTTCCTCTATATAGCTGATCATCGAAGCTTAATTTTTCTTTGGTTTGTGAGATTTATTGAGTTTGATCGAAATGAACTCTAATTATGTCAATAAACGTAACAAATTTGATAATTTTATTTCATGTATTTTCTATACAAAAACCCTAAAACCTAGAAACCCTAAACCCTAGAAACCCTAAACCCTAAACCCTAGAAACCATAAACCCTTCAAACCCTAAACACAAACCCCACACCCTTAGATATGATGTTATTTAACCCTTCAACCTTTTAAATCGTAATTATGACTCAATCACTTGTATTAAATTGTAACTCAACTCTAGTAATCTCTAACAATTTTTTGTAATAAAAATCCGCATTATATTAAATAAAAGAATTGTACATCTAATAATTGCCAGTAACCAATTTTATTATTAAAGCATATTTTTTTTAAATCCATGTTAGAGCATACTTTTAGGTGTAAGGTTATGCGATATTTCCATAAACTTACAATAAATACTATGAAATCGAATTGAAGTAGATTAATCAAGTAATTTCTTTGTTTATAGGCGTTGATGTTTTAAATTGTACGTTGATTGATTTACCACAATGTGAAAATTGCATTAGCAGCAGTACATAATTTGGCGTGTAAGATATTTGGAAGTATGACTGGAGAGGTAAAAAGAAATGGATTCACCGTGGTAAAATGGTAAAATGTGAAGTGTTATGATAATATTTGGCCTAAGATAAAGCTAGGATAGCTACTTACGAGTATGATTTTGGGACGTTAGAAAGGATTATAGCTGAAGTGCTGAACATTCATAGGAAGATACATGTTTCCCTTTTTCTGTTAAACAATTTTGACAGGCCTCAATGTGATTTTGTAAGCGTAGACAATGTCCTTTAGTTAATACCTTGCAGATAAAGGACAACTCCTTTTAGTACAAAATTATATGTTATTATTATTATTATTATTA